GTTCATTCGCACTGAAAATACACTTACACATACATTTTTGATACCATTTTGGTTGCGATTCTCACTTCGACTCACTTCGACTCATTTCGTTTCGTATGGGTTCGTTCGGTCGTGTATGGGTTCGTTCTATTTTCCCATCGTTACTTTGCTTTACTCGAATAATGAAAACAGTCAATGAGTTTGAGAATGAGTTTCATGAGTTTAATCCACGATTGGGTTGGTTGCTCTTCTTCTTTCTTGTTTTTCATTTCTGTGTTCTTTCTCTTTCTCTATTTCCCTCGTTTATTCAATGCGCGTATAGCTCTTTCATCAAATATTTAGTCGAAAAAAAAAATATTTCCACCTCAGCACAGACAGTTCAAATATATACAATCATACAGAGTATTTGTGTTATAAGTCAAAAAGTATTAGCCAAGTTTGCTGTTTACTTTTCAACTGTTGAACTTTTCATTAAATAGCTATATAGACGAAGATTTATTGCTGATTTTTTTTTTCATTTCAGTTTTTATTCTTGTTTTTTTTTTGTTATTTATTGTTAATACCTCATAACTTGTCATTTCGATTTGATTTTGCACTTTAGGCAATTTCAATGATACCTTAATCATAAAAATGGATTTGAATAACATTTATTGGTGTTTGAATTTTTTTTTATGTTCAATTATTTTTTTTGTCCAAGATTAAAATACATGTGTACGTGGTATTATGTTTAATTAATTTTTTTCTGTGGGTGATGTATGTCTGTGTGATACCACATTTTTTGGATTGGATTCTCGTTTTCGTCTTCCTCTGCTTTTGTTTCCCTCTAAATACGACATAAGTTGTACGAAAATAAATGTTTTTTCGCAGTCACATTGTGGTGGTTGTTTTCATCTTTTCCTTTCTTTTCAATTTTTTTTCTTCATTGGTTTGGCACGTTCGATAATTTCAGTTCAACTATAGTTGTACGCATGAATTTTGTCCTGACGATGGAAATGTGTTTGGATGTGGATTAGGGTGTTTTTGACATCAAATAATCAAGAAATGGTAGTTCTGGATTGAAAGAGTGAACAATTCTGAGTCGATTGCATGTATTTTTACTTAAAAATAATCAAAGATGCCACTTCCCGAGATCAAAACAGAAAATCATAGAATTTTGAGGTTATATTTTTATTCACTGAAATAAAGTAATATTTTCGACTCTTCTACTTTGAATCTCACTGCCATTGGTAAATTCACGATGCAGAATTTCATTCTCATGCATTTTTCGTGGAAAAAATCAAGGAAATCGGTGAAATATTACACATTTTCCATCGCATCTTTGACGGCATTTTCGATTGAAGAAATAATAATAATAGAACTATTTTTTTCACCAGAATTCAATCAATGCAGTTAGAACACACGATAAATTATCTGGATTTATCAACACATTCGATCGAACAAGTGCAGAAAGACCAATTTGGAACAAACGAAAAATGTAAACAAGAGTGAGCTGTCATCACGAAATCTGGACTCATTTGACATTATAACGGATTGCCAATACACTTGCCCGAATGAATAACAAGTAATTCGCACACAGTGATTCGCGCAGTTGTGTTACGGTCTTGTCAAACATCAAAACAAGCTCGAATTTCATGATGACAGCTCGTTTCTGTTTACATTTTTCGTTCGCTCTAAATTGGTCTTTCTGGATTTGTTCGATCGGATGTTTTGATGAATTCAGATAATTTTTCGTGTGTTTTAACTGCATTGATTGAATTCCGGTGAAAAAAATAGTTCTATTAGTGTTATTTCTTCAATCGAAAATGCCGTCAAAGATGCGATGGAAAATGTGTAATATTTCACCGATTTCCTTGATTTTTTCCACGAAAAATGCATGAAAATGAAATTCTGCATCGTGAATTTACCAATGGCAGTGAGATTGAAAGTGGAAGAGTCGAAAATATTACTTTATTTCAGTGAATAAAAATATAACCTCAAAATTCTATGATTTTCTGTTTTGATCTCGGGAAGTGGCATCTTTGATTGTTTTAAAGTAAAAATAAATGCAATCGACTCAGAATTGTTCACTCTTTCAATCCAGAACTACCATTTCTTGATTATTTGATGTCAAAAACACCCTAATGTGGATAGACAGGATATGAAGAAAAGGATGAGCTTTCTGCTCATCCAAAGAAAAAGGAAATGTTCGCTCTGTTGTTTTTTATTTCTCTTCTTGGACATAACAACAGAACTATTGAATTGGAAACTATCTTCTTTTTTTTAAATTTCGTGAGTTTGAAAGTTTGGTTTCATTTTTTGGTTTTTGTTTTCGAAAAAACGAAGAGCAAAACCGAAATTAACGAATTTGAAATGCCTGGCGACAGGAAAAAGTAAAAACAAGCCAAAAAATAATCAAATATGATTAAGTGATTGATCTGCGGGACGCATCATATTTCCATTACATATGGCATATTTAAGTCATAGTGTTCAAATTATCGTCATAAATGAACTTGCATACAATTGTTTGGTTGTTGTTGTTGTTGTGTTTGTTTTCACTTTTCACATCTTCCACCTGGTTCGTGTTGGTTTTTCTTTTGTTCGTCATCAAAATTCAAAATTACCTAAATTATTGTTATGAAATATTACTTTGAATTATCATTAAATCGTTACAATTAATATATCATATTTAGTAAATATTCATCTTAGAACTTGTTCAAATTTGTCTACCACATAATTAACAAATATGAAGAAAGAAAGAGTTGTATTATTTTTTTTTTTTCATTTTGTTCTTGTTTTGCCATTTACTGAGATGATTCGCTCAATTTTTAATTAATTTGTTGTTGCCCGATTCACGATCGAGACAAATTTGTTTCATACATATAAAATATGTTTGGTTTTTGTTGTTTGTTTTCCATTAGAATTTGGGTTTTCGGTATTTAGAAAAAATGTACATAATAATAATGAATTACAAAAAGTTTTGTTGTTGTTGTTGCGAGTCGTTTTTGGTTGTGTTGTTCTTGATGTTTGAGTAAAACGGATTTTATTTGTCGAAAAAGAGTTTTATGTTCATTGTTTAAATAATTTTTTAATCAAAATATTTACGTATTGTTTCATACTTTGGCCATTTCGATTGCTTGACCCTTTCCAAAGAGATTTTGACTTTAAGAAGATGGAGCAGGGCAAAAAAAAAACGCGAACATTCGGAGCGTAGGTTGAGATTACTTCGAAGAATTCGATTTGAATCAACAATGGAGTGTGAGGCTGATTCAATTCGAATTATCGAAATCTCTGCAAACAAAATGCTGTTCACTTCAAAAGAACCCGTCTTTTTTGCGGCAACAATATTCAAACATTTTTTTTTTGCTATTTTTTCTCTTGTTTTGGCTATAAGTTTGACTCAATGTACATATAAATACACAGACGATTGGTAAGAAATCGTCCTTTGCTCCGACAAATTAAACATATGGAATAAATGACGAGTAAATTTGTTTTGTCCCTATGCGAAGAAACCAACATGAAAAATCTCATTCGAATTTTCGATTCAATCTAATTTCAAATATTATCATTCATATTACAATCATACGATTTGTTTTCATTTGTCCCTTAACTAATTTATACTTAATTTACAAACTAATCATATGCGCTTCGAGGAGACACATTTAATTACCCTTTTTATTCACTAGAAAAAAGCTAAACCAGAGTGGTTTTTAGGTATTTTCAATACCTTATTTGTTTATATATATATATATATATAGATTTTCATTTGTTTTTTATTTATAATATAATTTGTTTTGCAATTTGCGTTTGTTTTCATTCGTTTAAATCTAAGTGTTAATCAATTTCATCAAAGTTACATCTTAGTACATGTGATAAATGTTCAATATGAGTTGTGTTGTTTATTTTTCATCTTGCCGATTTCATTTCCATGTTTGTCTCTGTCTATTCACTAATTAACTGGGTAATAATTCGACTCTGCGACATTTCTCTTTCAGAAAGCTCTAACAATTGAAAATCATACAATATAGTCTATTCAAAATTGAAGAAGAAAAAAAGTAAATGAAAACAACCGACGGAGTAAACCATAGAAAACAGCCATTTCGTAGGAAATAGAACAAATCGATTCGGTGGATTAAGTTTCGTCGTATGGCAAAAATTTCATGCGATCGCACACAGAGCAGAAAATTGCACACAAGATAAAAAAAAAGAAGCACAACGTCGTTCTTGTCATCGTTGTCGTCATCGGAGTGTGAAATCACAACGACTGAACTTTAATTATCATTGCTGCAACCATAAAAGCGTAAACAAAAATGCGATTGCAGTTTAAAACAAACTTTACAAATCAGTGTGTGTGTATGTGTGTTCATTTCTGGGAGATGATGATGATATTTGCATCGCAAATGGGTCGGAAGTATCATTCACCCGTTTCAAATCCATACTTATACACACATTATACATTTGTATATGTTATATCGAAAGTTTTGAAGCAATAATTGAAATCTGCACACAAACCTCGGCAACTATTCGAAGAAGCAATGAACTCGCTTATTTTACAGAAAGGACAACAAAATGAATAAAGCAAAAAAAAAACACGACGATATTAATAAATAATGATTACCGCAAGCTGGTAATTGAACGCGGCATTGGTTTCAGTTCATCTAAGACTTTGTTCAGTATATTAAGTTCTTTCTCGATGTGTACGGACTTATGTATGCATGTGAATAAGAACAAAGCCAATTGTAACACACCATGTGAATGTCATGAAAATTCTGTCTTATGCCGAAAAATTAAGGGAACCTCATCGAACTCATAGATTATAACAACATTTGATAAATTAACGAAAGGTAAAGGGGGAAATTTCAAATATCAACTCGATTGCTAGTTTTCTTCTCTCTATATTTGTTTCTTTGTTCTGGAAAGAGCCATTTTTGATTTTAGTTTATCTTTGAAGAATGTTCATAGAATGTATTTATTAATGAATAAACTCACATCGTCTATACAAAGGTTTCGATTCAATTCGTTTTAATGTGTGTGAGTGTATGTGTGTGTAGGTCCCTTTTTTCATATTTTTAAAAGATTTTTCTTTATTTTCTATTACGGACTTTGTGCATCGACTGGCTATATTAAATATATTTATAGAGTTTTTTTTTTCTTTTTCTTGTTATGTTTTGTTTTTCTCATTACATTTCATTTTCGACCCACTAATGTTCAATTATTTTCTCGTTTTGGTTTAATCTTTAACATTTCAGTTAAAGATTAGGAAGCTACATGAAGAATCTCAAATAAGATGGAACAATAAAAATAAAAATGGTTTATAGAAAAATAATTGTTCATTCACTTTGGTTGCTGCTGCTGTGTGTGGTTGTTGTTGATGCTTTGATGATATTAATGTTTAAAAATAAATCAATTCGAGTTGAATGTTATATGTTTGACGCTCTTTAACTAGTTCGTTATATACAATGAATTTTCATTTTTTTTACTTTCTGAAATGTCATTAACACATTTGTTTCACATGTGCTGTGCTTTCTCTCTGTTTGAATGTAAGTATAAATTTGTTTTGTTTATTCTGTTCTATTTAAGACGATTTAAGCTACTGTTAGATGTACTTTTTCTATTCTCCTTATTTCTTAGTCTCTTACTTAATCTAATGGTGTGATATTTACAAGATTAGTCATAATTAATATCTAGATGTATTTCTTCAAGTATTTTTTTTTATATGCAGAATTTTATAAAAAAAATTTCCTAAAAAATATTGAAATTTTGATAAAAGTGTTTCGATTAAAAGTTCCTTTTCATTGATTTCCTTTCGCTCGGTTGTAAGTTATTTCTTCTTGGTTGTTTTTAGCAATGGTTCTTAGACGAAATTGGTTTTTCAATCGATTTTTTTTTCTTTCTTTGTTGGTATTTTTCTTTATTTTTATTAGCTTCATTGATATACTATATATGTTTTGTTAATAGATTTTCGTAGAATAGAAAAACATGAAATCGTTTAAAATATGAACAACTTTTCCAAGCTATGAATGGATACTGGTTAAATGATTTGTTGTTGTCGTGGCTTTTTTTATGGTTTCACTTTGAGTTTTGTATGGTTTGTTTTTCCATATTGTTTTTGTTCCGTTGCGCAAATATTGTTTGGTAGTAACATAACATATGTAGAACACTTGCGGTATATGATTGTATGATACTGGCATATTTTTGGGGCGCGATCAATGCATTCACGCAATTTTTCGCTTGAAACAGTGCGTTGTGTTTACTTTTCGTTAGTTTTCAAACTCTTGGATGTGTATGTTAGGTTATGTTATGCTATGTTATGTTATGTTGTGTATGTGATGTGAAACTCGATTTGAAATAGTCTTCTTTGTTTCAGTTTTATGCTATTTTTTCTCTTTATTTTATTAGTAAACACAAAATCAAAACCAAAATAAATGTTTTATTTTGTGTTTGTTGTTGTTTGTTTGCTTGTTTGTTTGTTCAATTGGTATATCGGTATGTAATAACTAACGTCGGAGATAACCATGATAGCCGAGCGGTGCACCGCCACCCATTGAGCGTTCAGTAGCCTTTTCAATGCTCCTGTAAACGCACCGGTAGCAGCACACATAAGCCAAACATCACTTAAACAATATACGACGAAAGGCGCGCCGGAAATCCTTATTGAATATCGTATAGATTGCCGGATTCAGGGCTGAATTCATGTAGCCCAGCCAAAATGCGATGTCAAACGCTGATCCAGGTATATCACATTGCGTGCACATCGGTGTTAATATATACATTGCAAAGAACGGTAGCCAACATGCGATGAAACTGCCCATGATTAGGCCGAGTATAAGTGTGGCTCGTTTCTCTTTTTTCCGTGCTATTCGTCGCTTCTCCTTTTCGGGATCGCGTTGCTTCTGCACTTTTGGTATGGCCGGTTCGAGTTCCGTTGATTCGACCATATTATGCTTGTTGTGCTGCACTTTGGCGCTTTCGGTGTTGCTTTTATGGTGATTTCGCTTCCCGAATATCGGTTGACACAATCGAAATTTTAACGGTTTGACTACTGCACATCGGCTTATTACACCCGAATCAGAACTAGATGGATCGAATTCGCTGACCATATCATTATCGATGCCCACAGACAGCGCTCGACACCGGTTAAATGTTGGCGATACTTTGAGCTCGTTCGAAGGTGACGAGCTACCATTCGTATTCGCTTTTAATGCATTCAATGCGGTTCCGATCGTTGACGTTCCACCATCACCACCCGCCGACGATGAGATCTGTAAATTTGTTGATGCTGCTATTGAACATACCTTAAGCGTATCTTTTTCGTAATTTTGGTTTGATTCCATTTCGGCCGCTTCGCTCGTCGAAACATCAGAAGCAAAATCACACGTTACTATTGGAATTGGTATCGCTTCGGTGCGCGTTTCGATTGTAGCTATTTGTTGTTGATGATGATTGTTATCTTGTGATGTACTTGGCAAACATGGCATTGGGTTTGTTTTTGTTGTGAAGCTAGTAACCTGTTTAGGGAGAAGAAGGAAGAGACACAAAAAGAAGAGAAAAAAAACGAAATTGAAAGATGTAGTAGCAATCAAAATGGAATCAATCGTTCAACAAAGCATGCATAACGGTGAACCATTTCGTTTCGTATCGCTTTCCATTCATATTCGGCAAAGCACAAAACACGCAGAAGATCCATTGCGACACATTCTAAAGCATGCCATAAATACGTTCCGTCAGAAATGACACCAATTCTGGCGTCACGCAAATCGCTCGTACTGCAACAACAATCGCACATAACATATCGAGGCTTCTGATTAAATAATGTGTTACCATTGGTGCGAAAACAAATAAACGAACACACAGACTACTTTCTCAATGCAAAAGCTCCCGCGCACCCACTCACACATACAGAGATAGAAGACTATGTAGACAGTGGTAAGATGAGACAGCGGGGTAAGCAGAGATATGGAGCGAGACAGAGAGAGAGAGAGAGAAAAAAAACACTTTCTCCTATCTCAATATAATTTATCTTGCAGTAAATTCCACAGAATTTAACTTTTTCTATGGCCATTGCATGGCATTTCCAACTGCGTGCCCTACAAATGCGTTCGTCTTCAATGTAATACTTTGTTTTGTTGGGGTTTGTAAATCATAAATTAACACAGACTCGTCGTTTGCTTCACATAAAAACGCAAACAGTGCTGCATAATAAAATAGCATGGATGGATTCCACCCGAATGCTCAACGCACTTCATATAAATATTTTCTACAATGAACATTTCTCGTATTTAACAATTTCATGCGTTTGGTCCCGCACCCTGTAGCCAGCCGTTTTCTCTCTCCATTCCATCGTTTCGATATTTCCTCTCTGACTCCATTCTTGCTGCTGGTGCTGCTGGTGCTGCTGGTGCTGCTGCTGAGTTCGTTTGGACTCATTTATTTGGACTTTGTCGCTATTTTCATTTAGTTTATTCATGTTTTTGATTCATTGCGATTTCTCTTTAATCATTTCAGCGCCCGCATGAACTACGCTCTACCCCAATAAAATCGCATGAAGTTCAACCTTTTAAAATGAATAGTGACTAGTGTGTATGGTACTGACAAACATACTTGTGTGTTTCGCACAGCAAGAGACACCGATGACATCACAATACTATTTTTGTGCTTGCTATTCATCTCTCTCTCTCTCTCTCTCTCTCTCTCTCTCTCTCTCTCTCTCTCCTTTTTTTAAAACCTTTTTTTAAAACCATGTCGAACGAACGAACAAGCGTTCGAAAGTGTTCGACGGCCAACACTATTTTGCCTGCACTGCATTGAAATTTGCAATTTGAAATTGAGCGCTCTCTCTCTCTCTCTCTCTCTCTCCTCGACCGCCTTCCCTTCTCTCTGCCTCATTGCGGGTATGTGATCGAAAATTATGGATTTTCATCGAACGCTCTTAAACATTTATCGAACAATCTATTTTTTGAATAAAATAATTAATTTACTAAACAGGGTTCAATGTTATAGAAAAGCTGATTTACATAGTACTTTGCTCATGTTCATTCATAACGTATGCGAGAGCACTTTCAATTGCAATGTATATATGTTATTATGTGTGCGTGTGTCAATGGGTATGCGTTTGCATCCCTGAGTGCTTGAAGCCCGTTCACTTTATCCGTTCGCATTCGCGTTCTCGCTTGGCCTGATTCATTTGATGTACCTTTTTTACACTCGTATCGAATAAGCGCGCAAACATAATAGTTATTATTTCCATACCATAAAATATGAGTATCTCATCGAATTCGAGTAATGGAGATCAAATACACTTCTATTAACCGAATACACACGTAAAAGCAAGACCGCTGAGCTATTGAGCTGCAGCAGCAGTACGAAAAACAATGAGACACGCATATAGATGCGACGAAACAACCAAGCCAAAGCTCCCATTCTTTGGCTCTCATGCGCGCTGCACATTCATCGATATTGAGTTTATATTTTTGCGCTATAATCGTCGAACAGAGTCAGCGGCAGCAGCATCAACAGCAGCAAATTCCATGCAAAAATTATTAAATTGAAATTCTTCTGAAAAGCAGCGTCGAAAATATGAACAATAATAGAATGTTGTATGTAAAAATTGGTGCTTGCGAATGTACACGCTTGTTGCTTCCTTAGCCCTGTCCACCCAAATGAATCGCACAAAGCGATGATATGGTTCAACGAGTCTGTGGGTCTCGATGGCATACACATATACACCATTCTTTGCGCCTTATTCTCTCACACTCTCACTCTGTTGGTATAGTGCCTCACATCTCCACGTACGAAATTCACGTTGCGGTACGCATGAAAGGGGCACACAGCAAAGCAACAACAACTTCACTTCAATATCAAAAATGGAATGAATTCGTGACGGCAACGTAGGGCGAACGAGCGAGAGAAATGACACAGGCAAAAGAGGAAGAGAAGAAGAATGAAACCAAAACCGACATTCGCAAATAGGCTAACAGGCAGCTCAAACTTCGACAAATATCAATGGAAACTGGCGAATAGCGTTTCGCATGTAGATTTAATAATAATGATAATAAAATTTATTGATTATCTTTCATGTTTTGAGCGGACCGATCTCAATATATTTCCAGACAGTTTCTCACTTGCGAATTTTCTGCACATTTTATCTGCTTTCATACGTTTTCTCTTTTATCGTGCAGCATGCTGTTGTGTCATTCGAGGGAAATTTCATTTCTTTATTGAAAATTATGTCTGTTCTCACTCACTTACTCTCCGTCCCTCCTTTTTCCTTCATTTTGTTTTCTTCTTCTTTCATTTCATTGCTATCATCGCTTCTCATCCATCTTTGAACTGGTTGTGTCTGTGTGAGTATGTGACTTCGAAGACGAAGTGCTTTCGCACTGCGAAACACTCATCCAATCGAGAATTGAAATCATATGGGAAGATTTTGTGAAACGGATGCAAACACAAATCGAAATTACAACAACCAATCGAGGACGAGTCTAATGAAAATGATTGTGTGGTCACAATCAAACATATCAAGACATATCAAGAAAATATCATAAAACTCGTAATGAGGACAACAAAGTACGATAACGAAGAAGAAGAAAAATCAACAAGCACCGAATCATGCGAGTCAAAGTATGCAAATGTTTGCAAAACCGCTCGAAATGCACTGTTTGCATTAATGACGATATAAATGCGTGTCTCTTTTTTGTCTTCTGTCTCGAAAGTATTATCATCGAGTGATATACTGTGTATTTGGGGTAAAATAATGAGCATGCGAATAAAATTCGGCTCGTTTGCTCATTGTGTCCATTTCTCGTATTTAATTTCAGATATTTTCGCTTTTATTCTCGTTTTTTATGTGGTCCAATGGTTACGGAACGGAATAACAATGAAACAACAACAACGCAAAAAAAAACGAGCGAGAACGAGACAGAAATTAGGCCAATATGATAAATTAATTCAGTCGTTGTGCGAAGCACATGACTTAATTGCGATGGGAAACCGAATGAGTTCGAAATAAAGCCAAAGCGTAACTCGATATTGGAAGTCAATTAATTGGAAATTCAGTACATTTTATGTCGTATCAATTGATTAAATCGCTTATAAATGGCAAATCGATACAGTTTAAGATACATTAAAGAGATTCTATGGCAAAAAAAATCTGTATATAAAAAAAGGAAATAAAATTGTGTGTGTGTGTGATACGAATTGAAACGAGCCGAAGCAGAATTCATTTTATTTTTATTTCATTTTTTTGTGCAATTGCTTGAATGAAAACGGCAACGAAACACACCGCCAGATCGGAATATAGTGGATATTAAATTACCTGTTCTTGTGTTGATTTTAGTGGTTTTTTCTTGATACCCCTCCGTGCACGCGCCTTCGCCGCAAAATAAATTCGAATATATACAAAAACCATAATACAACTAGGAATGTAGAAAGAACCGAGCGCTGAATACAGGACGTAACCCAAATCGTCACTTAGCTGCAAAAATGAAAGAGAGAAAGAAAGCAAAAAAAAAAAAATGTATGGTTAGTCATTATGTTGGTATCCAATTTTCCAAAATGCTATGTAAATTGATTTTAAAATTCAATCGAGATGGAGAGAGTTTGATCAAGTGAGCAAATATTGATTTTGGCTAGTATTTATGTTTGATTTTGAGAAATATTTGAGATTATTTCGTTTCGTCAAATATTTTGATGGGCAACGATGAGAGTGTGGGAGCGTATAAGTGGGACGCCTACTGTTTTTGTTGGTAAAATGAGCAATTTTACCAACTTTGATTTTGACCGGTTCTGTTAGTATCCGACGGTCAGTCGTTGGAATTATTCATCCAAGTTATGCCTTTGATGCGTTCATCGACAAAAGAGCTATACTTTCGATAAACACATGATGTTCTTCTGTATTGGAAATAATCATATTCCCATCGCCCCTTGCACTTGTGTCCAGCCCATCGGCTAAAACTCAGCTATTGAGACACAGAATTATCCGAGAAATCACAAACAAATGGCCATATTTTAGGCAACAAAAAAATAGGAATGTTTTGTACGAAACAACAATCACTTGTAAAGTAATGGTATTTGAATCGTACATTTTGTAAGCGACACATAGCGCACATTGTTCTTGGTCGCAATCTATTAATGAAGAAGAGCACGACCGTTAATGTAAGGCGCAAAATATGGGTGCTGTAAACTTTTCAACAAAAATAAAAACAAATAAGCAAACAAAAAATCAACGAGAAAAGAAATAGAAGAATGAAATATATATATATATAAATAAAGTGGAGCCTGAAATGATAAGGATGAATGCGTATTGTTTGTTGGGGAGAAAAGTTGCGTAGCTGTGTCAATGTGGCATGCGAACAACTCAAATATGATGGTCGTAAAGTAATTTTATTATTATCATTATTTTGTACTCATCTTGAATTTAATATAGTTTATCTTAATTTCGGTTATTAAAATATAAAAATAAAATATACAATATAGTCATTACGGCAAATCATCGCGGGAAATATGCCAGCATCAAGTCAACAGCGCGCGAGAGGCACACGCAGTGCCGGATTGTCGTTGTCCTTGTCGTCGTCGTCATCATCATCATCATCATCGTCATCGTCCTTGGTTGGAAACGGTGTTTGCGTGCCGAATGAATCGAGTGTTGTGGCTCAACATTGGAAAATATATCCAAAAGAATTACAGCCTTAAAATGCATTGTATTTCACCATCTAGTGGAACGCCGCGCGCGCAATACTTGATATAAATAAGAATAAAGTAAGCCATCTTTCGCTTTTGCAATTCATTTCTCGTATAATCTTTTTTATTTTATTTTTCTTTATTTCTTTGTCGCTCTTTTATGGCTATGACTGGTGTGGCAGTGTGAAATGACATTTGCGTTTGCGTTTGCGTTTGTACTTGCCGAAATGTTATTTGCATGAACCGAAGAAAAGAGTGGAGCGGATGGGGGTTAGTGAACAAGAATAAACGCAAAGTAGCAGAATGATTTAGTTTTTTTTTTTCTCTTCTGTATTCTGCGCTACTTTTTGCGAAGCAGGTCAATGTGCGTCTCTGCTGGATTCTTTCGAGAGTGCCTAGTTTATCGCCCCTAGAGTTTATATAAATATGTATGTACATTTAAAAGTGGGGTTTAATCGCTTAATTGATTAAAAATGGTTTTCATTTTGGATACATGTTTTAGAGTTGGACCGGCGAGCGAATGGACGAGTAAGTGAGCGAGCGTACGAGCGTCAAGCAAGTGAATGGGCTCGAATAAAGGTATTCGAAATTTTCATTTGTTGATCATTTGTATATATTTCATTTCGCGTTGCGCTTGCTTTGCTGTCTCTTTCATTCATGTTGAATTGTGTATCGGTGTGTCGTTACAGCCTGAATGTTCATCCCTTCCATTAGGACGTTTGGGGCATTTCGCCGTTCCTTTATTATGGCCTCGTTGTTTCCGTCATTCATTTCACACAAAACTTCTTTTTTCATTGTGTACAACGAGTGACACTGCCTACTAACTGCTCATAACTGTTCATCGTTCAAACGCGAATGTATAAGTCTGTATAGTATACGTGCGTTTCTATTTGCTCCATAGCAATCTCTCTCCGTCTTTCACTCCTCTTTTTTGCTATCTTTCACACTCTTGCCTGGCTACATGGCACCAAATTAAATCATAACAACGAACGAAACGGTGAAATTTTTTGTCCTGAAATGTCGTTTATTTATGCGTTCATTGCGTTTGTTTTGTAATATCCTTCGTAAACTTTTATTTGGTTATTGTTGTTGACTTTTTATATGCATGAAATGTGCTTAAATTGAAAATTTATCCCCGTTCTTTTTTAGCCGGGGCAACACATAAAAATCGCATCATCAGTAAACGGAAAGAAAATATAAAACAATTTAAATATTTAAATTGAGTGCAAATGGAAATGTGCGCTTCGAAATTTCCACTTATATATACAAATATATATACTGCTTCTGTGATATTTACGCAAGAAACAAACGGGCTCTCTGAAAAAGTGAATAGGGAGAGAGAGAGAGAGAGAGAGAGAGAGAGAGAGGGAGAGAGAGAGAGAGTTCTTTTGACGAGAGCCGAATGAAGAAAAAAAAACGAAGAGAAATCCAAAAGGCAACAACAGGAACAGAGCCATACTTCAATTCATAAGCAAAGCAAAAAATTGAAACAATTGATAGCATGGCAGAAAAATTCATAGAAGCTTATTTCTTCGAAACGAGACGGAAAAAAAAGTGTTTCAATTGTTTGCTATTTTGTTTTTCAGATCTTTACGCTGTGTATAATGTATATACACATACATATTGTTTGGTCACGAATACCAATAGTTGGTCATACCGTGTGCAAAGACGAAAGGCACTTGGAAATTGAAAAACAATATTTTTGCTGTTCACTTTTTTATCCTCGTCTCCTCTGGTGAAACTTGAATTTTTGACTTCGACAATTGTTCGAAGAATGTTGTGCAAACAAACACTATGCAAAGTGTTTATCTACGAAATTATGTCGCCGAAGTGATTGCATTTGTCAGTTTCGTATTAAATCTATTTTTTAGCACGTGTTATCTAATATTTTGCTCGAAAAATTATTTCGCCTCGTGTTTTTCAAAGTTGAGCGAGTGCCACTCGTTTGTGTGTGTGTGTGTGCGTCGCTACTGTCGCTACTATTGCTTCGTTCGTTCATTGGAATTGTTTGCAATTTACGCAAAGAATTCTGTCACCTACTCGTATTTGAGTTCATGGTGGAAAGCACTTAATTTTTCGAACGTGACTTTTGCACCCTTCTTATCTGAAAGCATTTTCTTTGAACTTCAAATAGATATCCACTTTCCTTTCATGTCCTCGCACAATCACACCCGAACGGAAGGATATGACATAATGAACCCAACATCAAAAGCGTCTATACCGAATAATCGGAGGAATGAACGGTAAAGTGGGCGCAATTGGGCTTGTTGTAAATATATCCATTAAGTTGTGTTTATTATTTTATGAATTGGGTGACGCATTTTTTTGTCACCCTTTTGTTAATATAACTGTCCATAGTGCAGAGTGAATGTGATTTATCCGACAGAAAAAAAAATGGTTTTGATGGTAGTAATGTCGGTGCGACATTACGATTTCACCTAAATTCCCTTTTAACTTGACCAGATTTTCAGTTCGTCTGCCAGCCAGATGAAATTCAATTTGAACGTAACAGGGAGCGCACTCAACTTGAGAACAAACGTAACCAAAACCGTATGAGAGTGTGAAAGTGAGAAAAATGCAAATTAAAACACAAACACCTGTTTCAAATATGCATGCTATTTGAACTGGAACCAATTCATGTCATCAACCAATGTGTCGCGTTGTCATATTAATGTCACAAATACTCATTAGGATAATGTATATATACATATGCACGGAACATTCGATCCCACGTGAATTGAAACATCATGTTGCAATGAAAATACAGAACGAAATAAATAGTCAATCGTTTCAATTCCCGTCTCCTTTGGCGATTCGCCTGGATGTCGTTCACAAAACATGAACCATGAATAGCAAAACTCTTGATGTGTGTTTCATATTCCAGTCACCGTTGAAAGTTTGCTTATGGCCCGCGGCTCTAGTGAGTTCGTTCGCGTCCATGCGCTCACATGATCGCTTCCACTTTCATATCACATAAAATATATGCAAACTGACAATGCATGGCATTGCGAGTCGATAGATTTTTTAATGAATGTAAATAAAAGCTTTATATATGCTTATTCATTTATTCATGATTTTTGTTGTTGTTGTTGCTGTTGCTGCCATTGCCGCCGTACCATTTCTAGCGCTATTCCATTGTATATACTGCACTGCTATCCTATCCGCCAGATAAACGATTGTTCATAAATTCCCTCTAAGTTGTACCCACTATTAGCTAATAAACGAGTGTCACACTGATTGAAAAATTCAATATGAATGGACTTGGTGGGAGCGCACATAAAATGAATTTACGAAATAAAATCGCAACAACAACAACGAACTTGAAAAAAATAATATCTGGATCCCTTTCTATTCACCGTAGACTAATAAATCCATTGGAGCAGCATATGTGGGCAAAACAATACAATGCCATGGAGATGTGGGACAAAAACAACAACAAAAAATATATGAATTTAACTGCACGAAGCGAATTGAATAAAACATAAAGATCGACTGTCCTGAATTGTTCAGAATATATTTAATCTATAGTTTTATCTTTTGGATCAACGTAGTTTTTTTTTGTATGCACGCCTGATCACACGCAATCGAAATCAAATTGGACTAGGAAAAAGGAAAACAATAGATTTGAAACCACATTCGGAAATTCGAACGCGCTGTTCATGTTAATGGTTGATGTGTATGAGCTCTTTACTCTGCATAACTATAATCAAACCAGTGTGATACTTTCGTTTGCAAAACCTCACTTGCATGAATTCACCGCGGTGTGTATGTGTGTGTGGTTTTTTTTCCCTCTAT